TGGTGCAGGGTGCAACTGCTTGTAGTTAAGTTAATTTGTTATCTCTATAGCCATATTCCTGTGTGATTAATTACTTGATTTTGTTTATTATTTTTTTGAAAATAAATAAGCCGCTGAAAGATTTCTGCGGATTGGCAAGTTGGCCAAGTATCATACATTTCAGTTATTTTCTTTGATCCCACGTTTGTTATCGGGGTCCTTCATGGATTCCGTTACAATATAATCCCTTACTGCATTAGTCGAAGAGTTGACTGAATCCATTACTGTAAGAGACCTCTTGTGCATGTTTTTTCATGATCATCTTTTGATATATAACAGTTATTGCTTTTGATATTTTGGCCTTTGTTTGCATGTTTGCTGGGAAATTAACAAGCATATTATCAAAAGTGCAGGAATACATTTAGGTACATGGATACTGCAATGTATCACCAAATGTCTCTGGTGACTGTTTGAATGAGTGGGTGGGGTCATTGGAGTACCTGGGAATGGTTCAGAGTGTAAAACTAGTGATTTGGAATTTCTTCAAACACAAGGTGAGAGAAGGTAAGGGAAGCCATTTAAGTTAAACATAAAAAGTCTTATGGAATAAGTCAAGAATTAGCTGTCAGTGGGCTGATAGGGTGTTTGGAGGTGTAAAATGGTTTGTAAAAGCATGCAAACCAGAGAAGCAAAAGCAGGTTTGTGTTGGGCAGATTTGTGAAATTTGGATTTCATCAGGGCAGGAGGAAAACCTGGTACTGAAGTTAAATTCTGTTTAAAAGAAACATTCAGAAACAGTTCTAAGAAACAGTCCTGTTTTAGGATGAAGGCATAAGGAGGGAACCATCCTTTAAAAAGAAATCAAATAAATCATAAAAACACCAGTGAAAGAAAATATTAAACTGGGCAGGGAATGAATTTCACCGATGTGCTTGAAATTGCTTTTGAACAGACCATCTTCTACCACTAAAATTTGTAGGTACTTTGACAGATGAAGGACAACCACAATCAAGCATATTTATCCAAGAAGATGTAAATATAAACTTTGTCACCATGAACTGCTGTACATGTGGCAAGCATGAAACCTTTGCTGAGACCATTCAATATATAATGCTTTGAAATATACGGATATACGTGTGTATGTGTAGCACATGAATAGACTTTGTAGTTGGCCTTCAGTGATATCTAGCCTCTGGCATGGCAGGGAATGATTGACAAACATGAAATGCAATATCCCCTTACTGACCACATAGCTTCATGGTATGACACTGCAAACAGTATTCAACAACCATGTGTGATTTTTTTTCATAGAGAAATGTGCCACAGCTAGACAAGTGACAATCATGGCCTTTGAAATCAAGGAGAAGAGTGTTGAGCTACATGTAACATCATCTGCAGAACTTGAAGGTTTTCCGTCCTATACTGTGGCGATTGATGTTCTTCAAGCATTTCAAGATGAATGTGACGATGTGGATGTCTACCTGTAGGGTAAGTTGGTTGCTTGTGTATGGAAACCTTGTGGAAACTACTGTCAGACATGTACATGTAGTATGTACATACATGTAAGTGGATTTCATTTCATCAATCTCGTCAGTTGATGTTGATGATTTCCTACCCAACTTACATGACAAAGAACGTCTGAAGCAAGAATGGACAGTGCTGATTGGCAAAATCATTGCACAGCATATTCCATCTCTCAAGTGGTTCAGTGAACACATTCCAGCTAACATCTCCCATGCTTACACAACGGAACTCCAGCAGAAGTCCAACAATGTAAGTAGATATACATGTATCACAGTTTATTTAGTATCCTTCATATTATTAATCAAAAATAAATTTGGCATACATTATATACCAAAGCATGCACGGTTGAGAGGGTGGCTGTGCACTTGTGCACTCTTGTGAAGCTCTGTAGAGGAAGGATTAATCGCATCAACTTTGGTCAGCTGAGTCATTCAGCAATGAACGAGGTTTGGCAGATTCTCTTACTGCAGTGCATTAACCCTAACAATCCTGAATCCTTCAGGTTTGATGGGCGTGTGTATAGTGGTATACTCTTTATTTGTTAGGCCTTTACACAGCAGTGTTTGGAATTAGAGCTTTCAATCAATTATTACATTTTAGGAGAAAAAATGTTATTAAATCTGTCTCTTTTATATTCAAAGAAAACGCCTGAGAAAAAGAAACTGAAGGGGGAAGCCAAAAGTAAAGTGT